TAATATATATTATATTAATATATTATCTTGATATAAATTAAAATATATACTTTAATTTGTGGTTGAAAACATGAATATTATGATTTTATTAAAATATTGGTCGTGTTAAGAAAACTCTTTCAAGATTTACTCAAGAAAAATAAAATCTTTAGTTTTGATAAAAAAAAACCAAGTAAGAAAGATAAAAAAAATACTGTAAAACACTGTCAAAACTACAATTACCATAAGAAAATGATAATTTGATTTTTGAAACAGATGCTTTTGAAAATCATTGGAGTGGAGTCTTTAAGAAAATATATTATGATTCACAACAAGAAAAAGTTGGAGAAAACATATGTCGATATTGTTCTGGTACATTTACAGATACCCAAACAAAATATCATATGAGAAAGAATTATTAGTTATGGTAAAAAGTTGTCAAAAGTTTTATTACTTTTTATTATGTTCTAACATATTTTCTAACCAAGTATGAAAAAGATGACTGAAGAAATCGATAAACTCCTTTGTATTTTAATATTATATATATAATATTAATATAATAATATATTATATTAATATATTATCTTGATATAAATTAAAAGGTTTGGAAAATCCAACAAACTTTTTTATTTTAAATAATTAAGTTGTTGAACCTTTTTTAGATGAAAAAAGTATTGAGCGTTTTCATTTTGAATAATTAAGGTCTTGTTTGTTTTTTATAAAAAAAACTCTTATTAGTCTTTTATGTCTGATTCGTTAAAAGGCAAAGTCATTCAGACTGTTTATTTTTTCCAATTTTTCAAAGACATTTATGTCTTATTTTCCTCTTATTTGATAAGAGGTAAACCAACCTCTTATTTGCCTCTTATTGTTCTTCAAATCCTCAACAAAACGGCGTTTTTCAATCGATTCTTATCAAATCAGTCCTCACATCTCTCAATTAATGTATTTTAATAAGATGTAAATGTGTTAAACACCGTTAATGATATATCTTCGTTTAAGTGAATGTTAATTATATAATTTATATGTAAATTTCATAATGATGATGAATAAATATGTGAAATTGATAAATTAATCTATAAATTCAACACTATAATTTTTAATGAGTAAAATAGACAATTTAAACAAATTCAGACATTTATCATTTTACAAAAACAAACAATCTTATTGATTCAGATTTTAGACTCCAGTACCTCTTAAAAAACAAATGCCACATAAGTGTTTTTTATTTTTTTTTCTAATAAATAAATTTAATCTAGAAAAAAAAAATTATATTTTTACCGACTATGAAAGTTTTAAAGTAAAATAAAACTGAAATCAACTTTACTGTTCCCAAACTTTACGTCATTCAAACCCCTTACACTCAACAACATCGCTCCCCTTGCTGCCCCCATCGTCATTCTTTTTCCATATTTCCTATCATCGCCGTTGTCCCCTACCATCAATCTCCCTTTTCTTTTTCCAATAACGACGATGGGGGTGACGAGGATGAGCGATGATATTGGGTTTGAGGGGTTTGAAGGACATAGAGTTTGAAAAATGGTAAAACTGATTTTAGAGGGGTTTTTTTACCTTTAAAATCTTTCTAGCCATTTACGTGTAGTTTTTTTGAGTTAAAATGATACAAATAACCAATTTCTAAAAAATTGATGGTTTATTTATTAAAAAAATGTTCAAAAACATAATCAATTAAAATGAAAAAATTCAATGGTTTATTAATTAAAAAAACAAAATTAATAAAAATAGCCATTTTCAGATATCAAATTCGTCTCTTAGCCATTTCTCTCCGAAATTTTCAAAAATTTCATTACCTCCGTAAACGGCACATCTGTGACTTGCAAAAAAGCTAAAAGAAAAAAAACATTCACTTTTCACCCACTGAAGAAGGTGCCACTTGTTGACCAGGGTGAAAAGTGATTTTTTTTTTTTTGTCTTTTAGCTTCTTTGCAAGTCCGTCACTTGCGGAAGTCGTGATATTTTAGAAATCTCCAATAAGAAATGACTAAGAGATGAATTTGGTCCCTGGAAATGGCTATTTCTTTTAAAAAAAATTGAACAACTTAATCACTCAAAATAAAAAGGTTTGTTGAATTTTTTTCTATACTTTTCTATTAATTAAAAAGGTACTCGTACATTGCAGCGAGATATATCTTGATTTTAATATTTCATTTTATTCATTTTCTCTGTCGATATAATACGGTTTTATGTGATTTTTAGAAAATGATTATATTTTTTTAAATGAAAAATAAATTTTAAAAAAAGTATCGATATTAGTATTGAATTAATTATTTAAAAGTTCTTGTTTTTCGTGTAATTTTATTTAATTCAAATTTTTATTATAATTTAATTTAGATATAACAACAAAGTAGTTTATTTTTTGTTTAATAACATAATTTTTGTAAAGATAATAATTAAACATTCTATTAGAACTCAATGATTATCTTAATTATATTTTATTTTTTTATATTTAAAATGAGATGTTTATCCTGTATTTGATTATATTTATCTACAGTTAGTTATACGAATTCAAAAATAAAGCTTTAATAAGTTATACTTACATATAATTTACTTGTAATATTAAATTTTAAATAATATGTATCAATAAACAGTACTTCATGCATAAAATAATTTTTAAAAGTTTTTGTCAAATGTTTATAATATAATATAGATAAATAAATAAGTTTGTTGAAATTTTTTGTAATTTTATTTCGTTAATAAAAAAATAAAATTACGTCCAAGTGGAATATTAGATGCCAATTTACCCCTTAAAATGGAGCTGCAGGTGCGACCCACTTCACGACGAACACACGTGAGGAAGACTGAGCCAGTCCTACCCACTCGGCGAAACAACGATGGAGAAAGGGTCTGCAAATGGGTCATCGGCGGTGAAGAAGAGTCCGAAATCGTCGGCTAAGGTTAACTAAATCCACCATTCATCTCACTTTGTTTTGATCTTACCGTTTTCGCTTCGTAATTCTCATAAACAAGAGACATAATACGGTTTTCATCTCTTTTTTTAGGGTTTCCAATTGATTTTTAGGGTTTATGTGAATTAATATGCGTTGTACATTTTATTATACTCGATCTGCATTTTTGCTAATGGCGATCATGATTTTTTTCTTCAATTTGTAATAATACATCTTAACATGCAATTTATAAAACATAATTGGATTTGTGAGCTGTTGTTATATATCCTGGATGCTGAATAGATAAAATTCATAACAAGTATCGCGAATTAAGTGATTGGTGTACAAATAGCAATAAACCTATATCAATTCTGCAATCTGCACATGAAAACCACCAGGCTTGACTTATATGTTATGTTTTTGGTTTGTGATGTGGAGTGGGGTGGAGATTGGGGTAGAACAAGCATGATTTCCTATTTCTGGATTGTTTTCTAAATGTTGAATATTTTAGTGGTAAAGCTCAGTAGCTTTCGAGTTTTGAGTTCTCTGTGTATTGTTAATTTACTAAAATTGCTTCTATAAGGAGTCTATGGCTGAAAACTACACACTATTTGCAAGTAAATTTGTATTGAAGTTTTCTATCGGGTCTATGAAACATATAAATCTGATTAGGAGAAGTCATTTGCCTTACTTTCTGTTTCAAGGTGAGTTTATGTTTATAATTATATATGAAGTTATTATTTGGTGGACCAGGACATAACAGAACAAGGATCATAGTTCCATGTTTGGCCGGACTTTTATGTGGAATGGACAAGAACAGAGTGGAACAGGCTTATTCCACCCCCACCCCATGGAACAAAGCTGACTTATGTTTTACCAATATAACCTCAAAATAAAACCTAATTCTCTTCTAAAACATCAAATATGACATCCTCTTTACGTTTTAATCCTTATTTAAATTTTATTTATTGTATTTTATAATCTTTAAACTTTCACTTTACTGTCCTCAAAATATTATTTTTATACAGTTTCTATCTTTGATTAATTTATGTAATTTATTAGATATTAGTAATAAAAAAACAATATAGAAAAGGTCTAAAATAAAAAATTGGAAAGTACATAAACTTTTTTATTTTGGTGTCATTTTAATCGTCTTGACGAAAACTTTCTAATGATGTTTGTTGTTATGAAAATATTTATTTTTATTATAATTTAATAAATTACATAATTAATCAAAATTTATAAACAACTAATTAGGGGTAAAATTATAAATTGGTCATTTTATCTGTTCTATCCTATCTAGTTATGTCTTACCAAACACTGAACAACTGTCCTGTTCTATCCTTTATGGATATCAAACGCACCCTTATCAAATAGAGGCCTTTTGCTTTAATTGTTATGAATTTGTAGGCCTCAGTCGATGTCTATGAGTTTGTACTTGTATAGAAAGAAGGGGCTATTTAGTTCAATGACCTTATCCAGAAGCTGGTTTTGCATAATGACCCTCTAGTGTATTTCTAAATTTTTATCGGAGGAAATTGTTTTTAACCATTAGCAGACTGTTTTGAACTAGGGTGACATCAAATTAAGGTCATCAATGTTAGAAGGTCATGCTTCTAATTGAAAACTCACTTAAGGTCATTTATCCAAAGGACCCTGTATAGAAGTCATGTTCTTTTGGGAATCTGTGACTGTGTGCCCCTTCGACCTCAAACAAAAAGTGAGAAAAAGAAGCGGGGTGGACTTGTTTATTAACTTGCAGACTTACAGGGCTGCTTAAGTGACAGGTATCTCTTTTACCTACCCAAATTGATTTGGGAAAAAATTAGTGTAAGATATAATGTCCTCGAGAACCGTACCCATGGACCTACATTATTGCATTTTGTTGAAGTCAAATGTCTAAGGTAGCAGTCATTGATGTTTCTAAATACATGCAGAAATAAGATTATATTGTTAGAAGAAACCTTTTCATTATTGTGAACAAAACAATAAAATAACATAAAAATTGAAATTGAGTTGGATGTGATTATTAAAACAAGGGTATTCTTGATATTTGATATAGATTGTTGAGTTCGTAAGGTTGGAAATGCCGAAGAGATGTAGAATATACAACTATCACTAAACATAAAAATAGGAGCTCACAGAATAATACTTTGGGAGAGAGTAGTCGATGACAGATCAAGACTGAATAAGTGATGAAGGATTACCAATTGTGCTTTAGGTTGGACGATTGACTATGTTTAGTTATCTGCTTATGAAGGAACTGCATATTAGATATTACTAATCTACATGGAGAGAGCTTCTAGTAGAGTGCGTCGCAAATATAAGTATGAGGACGTACACCCCATAAAAATGTTAATTGTGTAGACATGATGAAGAACATGTAAAATAAGCTACAATGATAGTTTTTGTTTCTTTCTTTGGTTTTAAGATGGATTAACCAATTTACTATTTTGACAGGACAGCAGATGCCCCTGTTTGTGTTACGTCTTAAACTTATGGCCTTTGAATGGGGTTGGGGGATGGGTGTTGACCAGGCTGATGCAAGATGCCAGGCAATTGCTTAGTGAGCTTAATGGGACTCAGCTTATTCGGGTTGGCTATACATGCTTGTTTGGTAGTAACTTAATGATATAGAATGTGGCTTATTTAGTAAGCTTTTAGGGGAAGCTTTATGCAGAAAGACAAGTTTTATTCATACAAAAACCTTCCCAATCTATACAGACAGATTAATCTACACAGGAAACTCTATCCAGGCAACTTTATCCATACAGGACTTAATGGAAAACCAACCAAACCGCCTCTTAGTGTCGGGGGGTTTTTTTTTCTGAAGGGCAAGATTATTCTTTGATACTAAAAAGGTAGATAGAACGGTCTGAAGTTTTGGAAATCAAAATTGAAATGCAAAGTGATAACTGTAGGGACTTCCAACAGATACCATACTATTTGGGGTTACTCTGGTCAATTATTAAGTGGCAGTGACTAGTTAACATAAATGTTTTTTCTGGTGTTATTGAGTGTCAAAGTCCTCTATGGCTATAATCTCCCCAACCCTCAACTTGGGTAACCATGGGTGTTCGGGCCAGCTTGCTCGCACCTCGACTAATCCCATAGGCCCTGAAAGTTAACAGTCAGGCAAACCGCAAACCCTCCAATGGCTGTGAGGGGACTCGAACCGGTGATCTTCGGGGAGCAAACCTAGGTGAGCTACCCCTTAGACTAGTTGAGCCATGGGTTAAAAATGTCTACTTAAACATGTTCCAAGTTGAATCTTCATTGGAGGCTCTTATTGTATCTAAGCCAAGCTAAACCAACATGTTAGTTATACTCTTTATCATTATAAAAGATATGGAGACCTGATTGTCTCATTCTAGACAGACGTCACTTTGTCTTTCTACTTGAGAAATCTTTATTATAGTCTATTAGGGCTTGTTTGTTAGCAGCTGAATGAGCTTAATGGGACTCAACAGCTTATTTGGTCAGCTGTACATGACTGTTTGGTAGTGGCTTAATGATGTAGAAAGTGACTTATTCAGTAAGTTTCTAGGGGGGAGCTTTATGAAGAAATCCAAGTTTTTTTCAAACATGCCTCCCCCAATTAAAAAACATGCTCTTCCATCTATGAAAAATCCCCCCCAAACAAAAACTTTCTCAATCTACAAGGACGGATTAATCCACATAGACAACTTTTATCCATAGAGGACTTAATGGAAAACCAACCAAACAGCCCCTTAATGTCTTCTAAGCGTTATTTCCACATTTTGTTAGTGATTTCTCATGAGCTTCAAATATCAACCATCGTGAACAGAACACACACTCTTTTTCGAGTAAGAATCAATAAAACTTCATCATTTGCCTCTACAGAATGTTACCTTTTCTTGTATCCTCATCCAAAGTTGTAAAATTTTCAAGATTTTCTTACCTGTCTCGGGCTTTTTCGGGATTGAGTTCATGGATTCTCATGTGGGATTTTTGATTCTGTCAAAATTCTTTATCAAATTCATGCAGAAATCGAGGGGACCGCCACAGAGCTCAGTTGATACGTTTGCTGTGCAATGTAATGACTGTTTCAAGTGGAGGACATTGGCAACAGAAGAAGAATTCGAGGAGTATAGAAGTAAGCAAAGTGAAGATCCATTTGTTTGCAGCAAACGTGAAGGAATCGTCTGTGACAGTCCTGCTGATATCGAGTACGATTCTTCTCGAACATGGGTCATGGACAAACCCAACATCCCGAAAACCCCGAAAGGTTTTCAGAGAGTAATTGTTCTGAGAAGAGACTACTCTAAAATGGATGTCCAATATGTGACTCCCGATGGCACCCGAATAAGAGCAGCTCCGGGAATCATTGCATATCTTAAAGAACACCCGGAATACAACTATGCATCACCATCGGATTTCTGCTTTACGTCTCCGAAGGTAATGAGCGATACCATTCCTGAACATATCGAGAGAAAAAACCCGGGTAGCAGCATCAAGAAACCGAAAAAATCGAGTTAAAGATCGAGGGGTTCGTTCTGTTGTGTGTGTGTCTTCTTAAGGTTTTCATTCGAATGTTAGTATGACCTAAAATGAGGATGGATTCGTGTCTATCGTTATTTGTATGTTAAGCGTCGTGTTTCAACTGTTATGACGTCCGATCATGGGATCGGAATCCGTTGTAAAGTTGGTGTTTTAGTCGTAGTGATGACTTGTTAGGAAGCAGGAAAACGATATATGTATTGAAGTCTGTTGATTATGATGATCTTTGCGACTATATTATGAATACAATCGAGTTTTCTTTCGTTGCGTTTGTATTTCATCTTTTTGATTCGTTTGGTTTGTGGGATTGGATTCGATTTGGAGGTATTTTGAGGGATTTGGAATTGAATTTCGTTCCAATCCTATGTTTGGTTTGAAGGATTTTCTAAATTTAAAATCCCGGGATCTCTGTTTTGTTAAATTTGCAATGGCGTGACATGAAAAAATGATGCAAAAAGAAGGTTCTTACAATAACACAGATCCCCGTCATTAGACAAGACTGAACATAACAGATACGGAAAACAGAGAACATTGGAACCACACTTGATTCACATGTGAATTGTGTTATACATATAATGAATAGCAATAGCAAGATATGTTACAAAGATGGAAGTGAATGCAAATGTTGTATAAATTCATATGTACATAAAACATGTTACAATATAAATGAATGCATCTTCTCTTCTCTTCTTTCTCTTCCCACCAAAAATTAAACCTTTGGGAATGTTTGTTAGCACTTGTATAGTTAGCCAATTTTTGCCCTCATACTACAAACCGATATCGTTGACTTCGACGTTGACTTTCTAACGAGCTAGTCGGGATTCGTATATTCTAGAAGCATGTGTGGCGACCTATATATTTTCACCAACGTCCAATATAAAACCTCCTCGACTCCGAGCTCCCCCTCAGCCCTTGCAGCATAAATATCCTCACAGATCGCAATCAACCTGAAATCAAATCAGTTTTAGACCAGCTCCAACCAAAAAGACGGGATCATATCGATCAGTAAATCCAATTGATGTGAAGCCAACTGTATGAAGCAGTTGGCCTCACATAAAGTGTGGATCCCACAGATCCATCTGGAATGGATCCATGAGATCTGTAAAAAATGGTACCTGTCGCAAGAAGGAAGGTTTTCAAATGGGATTCTCATTCTGAGATCCGAGCATTGAAGCCTTATGAATCGACCAACTGCGAGCACGAATGTGATATACAAACCCCATATACTGAATTTACTCAGAGTTTCTCCAAGAAATCCCTCTGAAAAACAAACATGTCAATATTTAGTACATACGTTGATATAGAGTTGGGTTATGGGGAAAACCACAAAAAATAGAAAACTAAAAAACACCCTAGTAACTATTCATTTGTTCCGTATGCATTATGCACACATGCATAGCTACCAGGAAATATTTTCAATTACTTTTATACATGTGCATACCGGACAAATGAATGGTTATTAGGGTGTTCCTCAGTTTTCCAATTTTTTGTGTAGTTTCCTAAACTGGTCTCTCTCTCTCTCTCTCTCTCTCTGTATATATATATATATATATATATGTTATCCCACCTCACGAATCCATCACAGTATATTAGGGCATCACATCGTGCATAATGTGGGTATCGGTAGGTATATAGAGGGAATGATCCTAATTAATGTATCACAATGTGTATACAACGAGTATCACAATAGAATGCTCATGCCCGAAGGGGAGAGGGGAGATAAGATTTCTAAAGTACCCAAAATGCCCTTTAATTAAAATTTTAAGTCAAAATTACCAAAATTATTTATTTCCTAATTTATCCTTTGATATGTAGTTGAGATTGGTTCTCACAGTTATCATATGGAGTTCTCCCTTGAATGCCCCCTGTATATGTGTGTATATATATATATATATATATATAATGGCCGTTACGAAAAACTCAACTTCACAAGCCTATGAAACACTTACGTGGCGTTTCTTCTGACACAACGATCGCCATGGGCCCCATCAAATCTCCACACACGCTCGAATTCAACAAACTAATATCAAAAAACGACCACCATTCGGACTCCCCACGGTTCAAAACGAGCATCCCATCCACCCCATTAGCCTGCAAAAACAAAATGTTTCAAATCTAGTTCCGGATCACATATCACAGACATAAAGGGTGACGGAAAAAGCATATACCTCCTGGTCAAACGGTCTGACGTCCCCAGAACCCGTGACTCGAAAATACCTAGGGTAAGTGTTGTTTATCCTAAAACTGTTACTAGAACCTTCTAGAACTTGTCTAACTTGTGATGGATCCGGAAGATCCGAAGGAACTAAATTTTGCCCATACATCACAACTTCTTTGTTCTTAGGCCTATCTCGAGCGAGTACCCAAGAAAACTTCATATCCATGCCCTTATCGAGCGATTGACTAAATCTCGACTGAATCACGTCTGGAACAAGCCACAAACTGTTGGCATCGGCTTGACAACATATCAATTGAATATCGTTCACATTATACGATTCAAGATAACCATGGGGATCGAGAACAACCGAAGAATTAAACTCAGTCCATGGGGTAATCGCACATAGAGTTGTTTGGTATAACATCAATTTTCCGCTTTCCGTCTTTATATCAAACTGAATGCTAGCATCGTTGATGGGATTCGCAATGTTCGTTGGATTCCCGCTACTATACATCTGTCAAGAAACGAAGATCAAAGTTCAGTATAGGCGGTTCAAACGAGAACAGTAAATATTTCAAGAACCGGAGAGCCAATAGCTTTATTCATAATGAATATACATGATTTATTCATGAATTATGAAAATGCATGATATTCATAATGAATGCTCAAGGTTATTCATAGTGAATAATACGTTGGGTTCTCAAAATATTTATGGTTCTCGTTGGAAGTTGGAACTTTCCCGGGTTCAAAAATCTCAACTTGTATGAAAACTTCATCGTGTTACGAGTTTGGAGAGAGGGGTTCAACGAAATCTTACAAGCATAGGAGCCCAGATGACGCACATTAGTATAAAGAATAAGCATATGCCGTTGCAGAATTTAGTCACTCTCGTCTGCTTTTCGCCTTGTTTATGATTCGCTCGATTCAGATCGGAATCACATTTGACGAGATACAAGCTCGCATTTATGTCCTCCAACTACAACAGGAAGAAAGGCCGATATCAGTTTGATTACAGAAGATAAAAGAAGTTCCAAACAGTCTTGTTAAGTTGTTATTGAAAAACCCCATTTCGGTCGTCATAAGCTACTTCAAGTAGGGTTTTAATAAGCTTCAGGGGGGTTTTCCCACTTTTTTCCAATTATGCCTTTTATATTTTTCCAATTAATTTTTTAACATGTCCTTTTATGTCATTTTACAGTGTCAGCCAATTTTTACCAAACATGACTAGTTTATCGGCTAGCTTATTAGCTAACAGCTAGCTTTTTAAAACGCTACTTCAAGTAACATTTCAATAAGCTTCGGGGGCTTCTTTCCATTTTTCCCAATCATTCCCCTTAGATTTTTCAATTAATTTTTTTATCATGTTCTTTTACGTCATTTTATATTGTCATCTACCTTATCAACTAGTTTTTACCAAACATGACTAGTTTATCAATTAACTTACTATCTAACTTCCAGCTTTTTAAAACACTATTTCAAGGAACGTTTCAATAAGCTTCAGGGGCTCTTTTCCATTTTTTTTCAATTATGGCCCTTATATTTTTCTATCATGTCCTTTTACGTCATTTACTATTGTCATCTACCTTATCAACCAATTTTTACCAAACATAACTAGTTTGTTAGCTAGCTTATTAGCCATCAACTATCGTGTGAACAACGAGCTTTCAGCCAACAACTAGCTTATTAACCAACAGCCAGGTTTTCAGCCAACAACTAGCTTATTAACCAGCCAATTAGCCAACAGCCAGCTTATTAGCCAACGACTAGCTTTTTTGCCAACAGCTAGCTAGCTTTTCTGCCAACAGCTAGCTAGCTTTTTAGCCAACAACTAGCTTATTAACCAGTTAATTAACCAACAGCTAGCTTTTCAGCTAGTTTGCCAGGAGTTTGTCTAGGGGAAAATACTACCAACCTTGAGCCAATCATACATCGTCAACGATGTGGTGGTGCATGACCAATCAAGAACGCATCTTAACTCGTAAAGAAACGGTAGCGCCCGATAGAGTCGATACCCCAAATAGTTAACTCTCGAAACGCTGCTCGTCAAAAACTGCCTGTATAACGTGCTCTTATGAGGAACCCCGGATCGTATTTGCATAGCTTGCAAGGCCAAAGAAATCGATTTCGTCAAATATACCGCACGAAGTGCAAAACCCGCTGCATTTTGCTGTGACGGTTTTGTTGTCCAAGCATAAGCGGTGACGGAATACGTGAAAAGAACGAGGTTACAAATGTAAAATATCACTTTTCCGGTAGCGAACGAGCACAGATATATAATCCGATCAAGAACGATCAAGAAGAAGATGACCATCAAGATGAATACGAACTCCTTCGGAAACTGATCTTCGAGCTGATAAACATCAAGCAATTCGCTTTTGTTTTTTATAACGGATTGGTAGAAGATGGCAACCAAGAAGAAAACTGCTAAATCTGCGCCGAACGTATAGGCATAAAGATCGATTTCCCGTTTGCCTCCGCCTATTACCGAGATGATTGAATACGGAAATCCGACTTTTTCGAAAAGTTTGGCTCGTTGGGCTTCGGTTATCTCCTTGGCAACATCGGCTGCCGGAGTTAATGATTTGTATCTTTCAGTTAACGTGCATTCTTCTCGTGGCGATGCGTATACAACTTCGAAAACAGCCAACGCAATGTTTGAGCTTTCTTTACTCCTTTCGATGCTTTGAACTTGAACACTGCTGGCACACGGGCAAGTCAAAGGATCGGATTCTTTACATCTTTCATCGTGAACGAATCTAAGCAGTTCGTTTATGCCCGATTCGATTCTCGATGGTTGGATCCCATCTTCGGGCCACAAATGAACATCAATTGACACTTGTACCAAATACGGTGGAGATTCTGCTTCTTGTGTTAGTGATTTCCAGTATCTAGTACAGTTTCTAATAATCAATTTCGCCGAATTCTTCGTAAGTTGAACGATTTTTTGTGCGTTTTCTCTCCAACTCGAACTCAGAAGAAGCTCGTTTTGATTCACGATTCCCCTTGTAAGACTGCTGAACTCGGTCGACGAGACCAATTCACTGTCTTTAGCGGTTATCGAGCTTTGAATGAGCGTAAATAGGTACACTAGAAACAGAGGCAACAAACTGATTACAAACGAAGACGAAATCTTTCTTGACGGAAATCCCAATTCGGGAAGAAAAGCCAATTGGATCGTGAAATCGCAATGCTGGATGATGATCTGATACATATATTGAATCAAGATGTAGAACTCGGTGTAGATCAGCATTACGACCCAAAACGTATAACTTGGTCCTGTATTGACACAAAGCGCATATAAAAAGAGAGCGGCAAGATACACCATCGAAAGCAAGCTGAAGTTCCAAAGAAAAACGAGAAGGAAGCAACAATAGCAGACGACATCGTTGTTTGATCGCATTTGAGCCCAAATATGTCGAAAAATCTGGGCGATATGTATACTCGGTGAATCGGAATTTGTTCGACTTCTATCGGAATGCATAGAATTCGAACTATTGAAAGCCATGTAACCATCATTTTGATGTTCGGGATCACTTTGTTTTTCGATCTTCACGGATGAAGAAGGTATGTCTAAATCCGAGTCTGAATCTTCATGAGGAATGTTGAAGTAGTTTGCTAGATTGGTAACGGCTTGATTTCCGATCGATTGTACCTGCGAAACACCATCACCGATCAACTGAACAGCCGAAATCAACGAGTTTTCCCTCTTTGGGAGCTTGTTTTTCTTCTGGATCTCCAAAGCATCCTCTTCAAACTCGGTGATTTCACAAAGAGACGTTTTCTTTGGCGAACCAAGCGTTGATAAACTCTCGAAAGGGAACAACGAGTCCACAAAAGCATCGGACTTTTGTTTATTGGGCGTACCGTCTTCGTTGTCGAGATTTAGCGCGGTCGGGTCGGTGCTTCTCCGTCTCCTTAAACCTTCACGATGAGGAGAATAATCGCTACTCGCAATCGGTCCCGGTGCCGGAGCTGGATCCATGCTCTGAAGCTGGATTTGTAAATCAAGCATCTCGGATTTCATCTTTTCAACTTGCAAATTCCGCTGCCGTTTCATCTCTTCAGCTTCACGAATGTATTGCAACTGAGCGGTTTTCCATGCCGCCTTCTTCTCTTGTTCACGTACAATGGCGCCGATTTGCTCGGCTTCGAGATACCGAAACACGTAATCAAACTCTTCGGAAGCAAACATGTACGATTGTAGCGATACCAGTATGAATATGATGATCTCGACCAATGCCGACCTTGATGTAATCCGAAATCCGTAATCGTACTTATAAAATCCGATCACTTCGTAAATATAATCGACCGTTTCACATTTTCCGTCGTTAAAAGCACCGACAAACGGAGATTGATACGCCAGAGAAAGAACGATGACTGCAAAGTTGTATATCCTCAACCACTTAAAGATCTGGTTCTTTTTCTTGAGGATCGTAAGCCTCATTCGAAAGAAAATCAACGCGAAAGCAAGATACCCGAGATGTAAAATATCGTACTCGAAAGTTCCGGTGATCAGAATCAACGCAAGAACAAGATCTAACAAATGACAATAACAGTAAAGCCTCAAGTAGTCAAGAAAAGTCCACATCGATTTCGTTTCGAAAGAGAGATCCCGCCACACGAAAGCGTTTTTCCGTTGAGATATCATTTGGCGATACGTAAACGAGCCGGAAAAACTTCCGAACCGATCCGCTCGCAGCTTGAAACACGCCAACATGAAGACAAAAAAGTAACTGGTCAGCACTCGAGGATCATCGACCGTAAGTCCGAGCCAGCAGTCACGGCAATAGCTGAAATACATATCCGACCTCCGCCAGCAATCGTGGCAGTGCATGGCGTTTTCCGATGGTGGAGGTTTGCTCGAAGGGATCTTGTTCCTCCAAATGGCAAAATATTCGAGCACGAGAACGGTAGCAAACAAGAAAACGAACACTGGCCACCCTTTTCGTATAAACTGGCGGCCTAGAAGCACGCAAGCCGCAAGTGATGCGATATACAGCATAGATATTCCGTTAAGAAGCGCAAAACTCGCAAGAAGCAACGCGATCATGGTGATCTCAAGCCCGAAAAGGATGAACATGTTTTCCATCCAAAACTTCAAGTAAACTTTCAGTGACGTCTTCTGCATTTCGAATCGTTCTTTTCTCAAATCAAGAACTCGTTTCTTGTTCCATTTATGGCTCTCGTTGCCGCTCCCCCAAATAAACCCAAAAAGGTATCTCCGGCTGCTACTTTCCGGCACTCCGATTTTCGTGGCTGCATCACTGACCGACGGCCATGAACTGCTGGTCCTAATCCCTTTTCTTGGATCGGTTTCTTGATTCGGAGTGTTGACAACTGGTAACACATCTTGTTCTGAAAAGAACAATGGGCACGGTTCTTCCCATTGACCAACACCTGAAAGCCAACTCGGCATCATCTCGAGCCAATAAAAGACGTTATATTGCAGCGTACAGGCGGCAACCACCAGAACTTTAGCTCGCAAACCCGCTTCCACACCCCAAATCCCAGGCTCATACACCTTCAAACCAAGAAAAACTGACAAACTGTGAAGTTTTTGATCAGGAAACATCTCGGCATATTTTCCCAACATCTGGAATAAGTACTCGATCGTCACAAGAAACCCCGTGTACACCAAAAACGTTTTCGATGGTACCCTCGAAGCTTTCGGCAAGATCGAACAGACGACGATACCAAGAAGATACAAGAATCCAAACGCACTTATCGGAGATATCGCTGCATAAAACATAGCAGCAAACAAAATCTTTTGGCTATGCCAAATTAGAAGCCTTCTAATAAACCCGATAATGCCAAACTGCATTCGATTCGGATCCTCCAATGTTCGATACCGGCTTTGTCTCCTCTCATAGCTATAAAGTTGCATCACGATTGTTATCGCCAATGATTCCGAAACATTTTCCAACAACGAAGCTTGAGGATTATAGCCAAGATTTGCATAAAGATCGACCTTTGTTGACACCCAAGCTTCGAAAGTGGGGAAGATGCTCAAACTATAGATGAGAATAAACATCATGATCGAGTATGCTTTCAATGGGAACCAAAGGCGTCGTTTTGTCTTCTCAACAAGTTGTCTGCCGGTAATCCAAAAGAGGAGGAGAAAAATGAACCCAAAAGATATGAAATTCGGCCTTGCCATATAAACTGTGATGAGTATAGTTACAAAAGCAATGTAAGTGCCGAGTGATCGATATAATGACAAAAACTTTTGCCCGATTGCGCTGAGATACGAAGCCACTTTTCTCTCTGAAAGAAGATAAAATGAACACGTGAGCACCCGTACTTATACTATTTTGGATAGCACGGGTTCAAATGAGTACCGTAAATGTTTTGAGAATCTGGGAACCAACTATTCATGCTTTATTTGTGATGAATACCGTGATAGATATTCATCACGAAAACGTATGATATTCATAATGAAAATGCATGAAAAAGTTGGTTCACCATAAATATTTTAGAACCTGGAACCAACTATTCATGCTTTATTCATAATGAATATTATGATGGATATTCATGATGAAAATGCATGACATGATAAATAATGAAAATGCATGATATTTCATGATTATTTAGGGTTATTCATCATGAATAATCCATGAAATAGTTGGTCCTAGGTTATTTTGAGGACCTACAACCAACTATTCATGCTTTATTCATAATGAATATCATGACAGATATTCATGATTATTTAGGGTTACTCATCATAATAATACATGAAATAGCTGGTTTCTAGGTTCTCAAAATATTTACGGTTCTCATTTGAACTTCCCCTACAATAAATCCGGATTCTAGGACAAAATTAAACACCTTGGGATGGACTATCCTCGCCGTTTCTGGCAGTTCCCGAGGCATAAACAGACAACAAAACCGATTTGTTCAAACCGGCTTTCAAGATGCTAAACCCAACTGGAGGACAAGGTGTATGCTGCACAATTGCCGAGAACGAAAACAGCAATTTATACCCATGTTTGTGTACGGCACAGAAACAAGCAAGAAAAGCGATTTCCACAAAATCCCATGCGGTATTATGTTCATGGAGACCTACACGAATTTCATATAAGATTTTAATCATTAGAAACAGCAGACTAGAAGAAAAAGTACTCCCTCTGTCACAAAATAAGCATCTACTTTCCAATTCTACCCATAACTACAAGATGGAGAAATTTATTACTCCACCCATTGTTAAGGGTAGAATCGTCATTTGGTTCATTAAAGAAGTAAATTACGTTTTGAGTCCCTATGATTTGTTAAAAATTGCGATTCTTATCCCTGTGGTTTAAAATTTGCAGTTTTCATCCCTATGGTTTGTAATTCATTGCTATTTTCGTTCTTATGATTTACAATTTATTGTTGTTTCGGTCATTATGGTTTACAATTCTTTACTGTTTTGGTCCCTTGTTCTTAAAAGATAGGAATCAGTCCATCGACGAAAATAGCAATAAACTGCAAACCATACGGACAAAAATCCCAATTTCCTAAACCACAGGGACGGAAATTGAAATTACTAACAAACCACAGGGATGAAAATCGTAATTTACTCTTAAAGAGGTAATAATTACACATTTCTAAAAGTGTAGCCCAAACAACTTTACTTTTTAGCCACTTTTTCAATTGCATTCTCATTTTAGCCCGAGTTTACCCAAATGTCTTGCATTTGCGCAAACTGGATTTTCAGATTTTAAAAAGAGAAGAAAGAAAGTTTTTTTTTGCGTAAGGATTCAAATTTTTGCACAAAGAATCCTTTACGACGCATATGCGTAAGGATTTGTTTTCTTTTTTCCCCTCCAGAAATCAGTCTTTACGCAAATGTGTCATCTGCGTGAAGCATTTGCATGAAGACTGGCTATTGTGGGAAGAGGATATGAGAAGTGGCTAAAAAGTGAATTTGGTTGATAGGATTGGCTATTTCAGTCGAACCCATCAAGCAAATCCCCCTTTTCTTATTGTGGACGGAAGGAGCATGTAAGAAAATGGACATAGCCAAACAAACGTACCTAATTGAGATAAAATTTCCCTACTTATGGAGCCACTTTTCTCCAATGCTCTATAAATCGGAGTTATTTGAAGAGAGTACAACAAAGCAAAATGAATCTCGCACAAAAGAAGAAGCGTTTGACGTACTTTGTTGCCGATATCGTGGCTCAAAAGATAGAAGAAAAAGAATATCACTGGAGACCACACAAAAAAAGTTCGAGCTTTATTAGAGCTTATTGTGAAAATTGAAATGAATGGATGAGGAAAATAATACGATCCAAATTAACGTACTGTATATAGCATGGATGAAACCGGGCTTCATTGCAATGAGAAATATTAGAACCAGCATGATAGCACGAGAACATTTTCGCAATCCCCAAGCAATCGTAGCCACAATCAGCACCTTCGTTTCTTCTTTAACTGCCATTATAACCATGGTTAACCGAGGTTAAAGAACGACAATAAGATTTATGATTTGAACCTATAAGTTCCCATATGAGAGCTATTCCAGCAAGAAAATTCAAGAATCTAATAAACCCACATGAATCTTGAACAAATTAAGCTGAACTTGCGTAAATTGGATGTGGGTTAATCATGGCGTGAAATAAATTCAATGACAAGTTATATAACTCCCAATACACCCCCATTGAGAGTAGAGTGTGTCCCCGATAATTGCTTTCTTTTCGGGTGCGTTTGGTAGACAGATGGGATTGGACTTGATGGGAGAAATAATTGTAGAGGATTTTTAAGGTTTTAATTTGATATTGTAGTTTCGTAATTTACCAATCTTGTCTCGTCTCCCTGATTTAATTCCACCTATTTTGGATTTTCGGTGGGACGAAAAATATGGATTTTTTTCTTGCTACATGTTTGCTCATACTCTTGTAAAAGCCGAAGGTCTTCATGTAAACCACTCTACTCTTGAGGTAGAGGTAGAGGTAGAGGTCAAGTTTGCGTACTTTCGAGTGAGCAAAAGGTTGAATACCAGCAACCCCAACCGGCCCCACACGGAACCCGCCCCCTAGGAACCACATGTGAGGAGGCATTTCAGAGCTCTAGCGAAGGGGTTCAAGCCCATCTCCCACATGATTCGAACTTGAACCTGTTGTATATTTACGTAAAGTCGCTCCTCCCCTTTTGCCAACTGAGCTACATGCCTGAGGGCTCGAATGGGATTTACCGGCTCCATCTTGTTTGGTTTTTGAAAAAAAAGTGCATTTTTGTCCCACTCGGGCATTGTCATGTCCCAACTTAATGTCACGAAACACACCCGTAATGTCAAACCTACAAGAGAAGATTTATCACAAAATAAGCATCTAACTCACCTTCAGGAGTCGGGTCTCCATTTGACGTTTGGTGGTCCTCATCGGAAATATACAAGAAAACGGAGTTGTTGACAAGATTACCGAGGGCAACCAAAACTCCAAGACAAAACTGTGCAAGCATAAAAAATCCGGGAATAGAATAATGCCACAACCCGACCATTTCCCAAATGTCCATATCCTGCTTAATGCAATTTAACGTTAGAAAAATACGACGAAATTGAAAAAAAAAATAAAGAAAAGAAAGTTGAGAAGGTTACCCCAAGGTCCCAATTGAGATACGAAAACGCTACATTGAAGATATAAGTACTGATAGCCCATAAGAGAATGAAGACGAGGAGCAACCCATTTAGCCGATGCAAACGAAACAATGACGGAAAAGCAAATATAATGTAACCGACGTATACAAGTAACCCGAATGCACATACACTTGCAAAATAGAAGCTCCACAATGAAAGGGCAAATAAGGAAACCTGTCAATTTCATCACTGAAAATTTAACAAATAAGCCCAAACATAATTCATACTTGACTTAACCTCAAACCATAATTTAGTCAAGTAAGTAACAATCATGGAAAATAAGTCACAACTTGTCAAAAATCTAGCTTTTCATCGATTTCCAAACAAACCCATGTAAATCATATTCTTTGGCATGCACTTTAGGGTGCACTTGGTACACTAGACAGAACATAAAAGAGCAGGGATCACTGTTCCACATTTGACAGGAATTTTATGTGGAACAGAGTGGAACATGCGTATTCCCCCCACCCCATGGAACAAGGTGGAACGAATCTATATTTTACCGATATAACCTCTTTACATTCTATTCATTTTTTAAAATTTATTTATCGTATTTTATGCTCTTTAAACTTTCACTTTATTGTCCTTAAAATATTATTTTTATATGGTTTCTATATTTTAGTTAATATATGTAATTTACTCATTAGGGGTAAATTGGTCATTTTATATGTTCCGTACATCCAGTTCTATCTTACCAAACGTTTAACAACTGTTTTGTCCCATACTGTCCTGTCCTACCTGTCTGGATTGGTATGCGAGACAGGATGGGACAGGACAGGACACGACAATAACTTGTTCTCCCAGTTTTGGTGCGAACATAGATTGGAACAGGACCTGAGTGGCATAAAAATGCATTTTTCTCCTATCCCGCCAAAATGTTGGGAAAAAAATCAAGGAGATGGGACGAGATTGGTAAATTACTAAACTACCAATGTTAAATTAAAACCCTACAACTTTCAAGAATTCTTTCACCCTCCTACCTCACTCTCTCACGTCCAATCCCGTCCCCGTACAAAACGCACCCTCAAGGACACAACATTACCATAAAGGGTTTATTAGTCAACCATATATTAATACAAATCACAAATTGAACATATTCTCCTCCCAAAGGACTTGTGTTTCAAAACTTGGACTTTTCGGGGAAAAGAATACCCATTTACACACCACCCAAGCTTATTAGTTTTGGGTGCGCAAGGGTGCTTTAAAGTGCGTTTTCAAAATGACAATTGTCACCTAAAAATCATGATCAGTTGGTTAAAGCTAGGGATAGGTAGGTAATTTTACATTTATCCCAACAAACAGTTTTCTTGCAACAGTTTCGAACCTACTTCTCAAAATGTTTTTTTTTTTTTTGCCCTAAATACTTGGATAATTATGCCTTCAAATTGCAATAATAAGTTTAAACGCACATCCAAACACCCTATAAATCCATTAACATCACCTTAAAGCTTTCAAAAAGAAAGCTTTACGGGTATGTAGTGGGACAAATACATTTATTTATAATTTTATTAATCAATTAAAAGGGTAATACGTAGCTATAGTTTAAGGGTATGTACCGGGACACCATATGTGAAGAAGTTAATGCTAAATGTCCGAAAAACCGCACCTCTTAATAAAACATTGGTGTGTCTTACACCAGATCTGCAAATAACATCACATTCAATTAGAGATCTCTAAATATTTATATTCGTTTTTATTAAAAAAAATATGAGCATAACACGAGTACATCATATTACATGTCAATTACCTTGATTCACGAACGAAAAAAGAATCCTTTAAAGGCAAAAGATGCTCAGTTAAGTTGCCTTCACTAATGGACATGATGGAATCCATTTCTTCCAAATCAAATTTGACAAAAGATAACTGCGAAATCATCAAAGATGCAAACTTTAATAATTAACCATGAGTTTAGAAATAAGCCCAATATTTGATATTACGTATGGAACAACTATAACAAGAAATGGCTCCCGAAAAGCACGACGTTACACAAGCTAAGAATTAAAAGGAAGATTTTAGAACATCCTGAACGGGCATACCATGAAACAAAATATGACGAGTGAAATGCAAGAACAAATTTGTGTCCACTCGGAGGTCGCGGATATTTTGTACAGGCCGATGAATTCACCTATCATACTAAAGAACTTCGGGAAGCCTAAGGGGAGTTGATAGATGTAGAGCAAGAAAATACTGAATCCACCGTACATCCAAAGAGGTCTCCACCACCTTCATGACAACATAGGAAGCCAAAATGTAAGTAAAATCGTGCAAAAAAACTTGATCTCATAGCGTACTCCTTCCGTCCCAAAATAAATGTCCACAATGAAAAGGCACACAGTTTTAGAAATGTGTAATTGTAACACTTTTTAATTAACAAAATGACAATTTTACCCTTAATAATAGAGGGAGGAATGAATTTTTCTAATTCATAATTAAGGGTAGAATTGGAGAGTGCATTTTCTTTTGAAAGTGGACACTTAATTTGAGACAAACTAAGGGTTTGTCTATTACCAACTTAATGAGCTTAATGAGACTCACAGCTTACTCGGTCAGCTATACATGGCTGTTTGGTAGTGGCTTAATGATACAGAAAGTGGCTTATTCAGTAAGCTTTTAGAAGGGAGCTTTATGCAAAAAGTCGAGTTTTTTCCAAACTTGCCCCTTCCAATAAAAAAGACATTCTCCTTCCATCTATGATAAAAACTCTTAGAGACGGATTAATCCACACAGGCATCTTCATCCATAGAGGACTTAACAGAAAACCAACCAAACAGCCCCAAGATAGAAATGTGGACACTTATTTTTGGGACGGATGGAGTATTATAATGAAACTAGAATCAACTATAGGATTAATAAGAATTGATACAAAGTCACCTGAAGAGGCCATGAAAGTTGCTCGTTAACGACCAATCCACAAGACCCACACAACTACAAACGAAAAACGGCAAAGAAACCCAAGAAGAATAGCTGATTCCGACAACCAATTGAACAGCAGGCAACAACAGGCAGAAAGCAACCTTCACATGTGAACCTTTCCATATTGAAAGATAGACATAAAATTCCCGTCAATTTATGAAAATTCAGTTCTTAGATTGGATAACTTTCCAATTAACTTTTAACCCCACGAGCTAAAATCACTTGTTACTAACCTATTCGGTTAAAAGCCAACGAGAAACTCCCAAAAAGCGTAGATGTCTGCGTAAACAAACCTAATCTGCTTTCATGGAGTTCAATAAAAGCAGTGATCGCCACTAATAGTTGCACGATCAAAAGATAAATCACTATGGGCGATCTCCAAGTTTCCATTCTGCAAAACCCATACTTCATTAGTCTACATATCGGATAATTATGATACTAATAATAAGATGCAACCAAAAATTAGATTTAAAATCTCACATCAAGAATCCTAATAGCTTTGCCCACCAAGGTTCTTCTTCATTGCAGCTTCCACACACGATGGCCCATGTGATAAGAAACGTTACTTGTGAAAGAATAACAAGAAATGAGAAAAAAATAATGAACCATAGTAGCGTTCTCCCTCTTGACTGAAATCCTACAAGAAATGAAAAAAGAATGATGAACCATAGTATAAAGTTGCACCAATAACCACATAACTAATCAAAAATAGCTATAAGAAATGCCATTTTCAAGAAATTAACTGAAAATAGCTAAATCCCTTTAAGTAAATAAAAGAAATCGTGTTAGGTTAGGTTTAACAATAAAGTACTATCTTTTTTGGGTAACCGTGGGTATTCAGGCCAGCTTACTTGCACGGACCAATCCCCTGGGCGACCATGAAGGGCTTGGAGTCATCGCCAGCGAACCTCCATGGCCACAAGGATTTCGGGAGCGCTTGGATTCGAACCTAGGGAAGAAGTGATTTCCACTACATCCCCTGAGGGAGCGTTTGGTTTGATGGAATGGTTTTGAGGGGTCTGGATTTCGTGGAAGGATTCGGAGTTGGAGGGATTTGGAATCTTTGGTGTGTTTGGTTTGTAGGATCTGGAATTGAATTGAATTGAATTCCTTTATTTTTAAAAAATTATAATTTTTTTTAAATAATTATAAAAATAATTAAATTACGCTTTAATTAATTGATTATTACAAAACAAATGATTTTAACATATTTTAAACCATTATTACATACAGATCCTACAGAATCCCATGAAATACCAACCCCATGGGATTTCAAAATTCTATGTTTGGGTCTCAAATCCATGAAATCCTTCAAACCAAACATGGGATTAGAATGGAATTCAATTCCAAATCCAATCCAATCCCGCAAACCAAACGGGACCAGAGTCTTAATTAGTATGCCACAACCCAGGTGGTTGGTTTAACAATAAATTAGTGTGTTTTGATGCAAAACCAATATGAAAGGCACCACTGGGAAGCTCATTTGAAGAAGAGTACAAATGTCACACCAACACTTCATGGTAGAACTTCATGCAAATATGAATGGACAACAGCTACACACAACTGAGGTGATATAAAACAAAGTTATTTAAGAAAATAAAAGGCTACACAAAGCTCTTTACCTCTTTTTGGAGGAGTGAATAGAATAAGTAGGGAAGCTAGCAAATTGCCAAGAGAGATCAAACTCCAATTGAGTAAAGCAGCTGCAAAAACAGAAAGTATGAGAATATAAATGAGCCAATAAATATTCTAATAAAACTAATAGAATACTTATAAACGACAAAATAACTAAAAGGTCTAATTCCAAACTAATTTCCAAGTACCCATAACAAGTTTTTTATAATCTAAGTAAAAGAGCTCATGGTTCATGCACATATGAATGGACAACAACTATAAGGGGATGTTTCGTTGGTTTTCCATTAAGTCTTGTATGGGTAAAGTCGTTGGTGTGGATTAATCATTGTGCAAGTCTTTCTTTAGGGTTTTTTCATAGATGGAAGGAACATGTTCTTTAATTGGGAAGGACAGATTTAGAAAAAAAGCTCGGTTTTCTGCATAAAGCCCCCCCAAGGGCTTACTAAATAAGCCACTTTCTATGCTGACTGAATAAGCTGCTAGCAAACATGCCCGAAGTAAAACGTCTTAATTACCAAGATCAATGATTTGCAATTAGCATTCAAATCCCAAATCTTGAGGCTAAAAAGGGTTTATCAGAAGTTCTAACTTGAGAACTAACGACTGTTTTCTCTAAATGACAAAAAATACTTGATAAAACTACATTCAACTGTCCAACATTATGGGGATTAAGAAAACAAAAACTAAAACCCATCTCAGAAATTTATCTAGGTTTGAATCTCTAGAAATGAATGAATATATATAAAATATAAATCGATACCTGTTAACAGCAGCAAAGGCAACACAAACCCACCGATAAATCTCCCCATAATTCGCGCTGATAGAATCGAAACAAGATCGATTCATACCATCAATCACCTGATTAACCAAATCCCCCAATACTTGATTCTTTCGGGAAGCTGAAAAACGAATCCGCGAGAAGGATTTTCTGTTTGTGTATTTGATTGGGGTTTTCTTGAAGTAGAAGTGATAAACTGGAAGTGAAGATATGAGTGGATCTTGAATGTTTCTGAAGTGAATTGAGGAATTTCAAGTGTGTGAATAAGAATTAAGGGGTGGAATTCATGTGATCTGAGAGGTTTAGCAGGAATATGTATCAATCAATTGGGAATCTTTTTGTAAACCCAAATTCAATTTGGGTATTTTGGCGAAACGGGTTGCGGAGAAGAGGAGAGGAGACTATTTTTTGGCCAGGGTTTGACGAGATTTATACGCATGCATTCCTTAGATTGGTGCATCTTGTTTGGGGTTTTCAAGGTTCTTTTGTTTGCTTTGGTAGATTTTAACCTGTCGTTTTCTTGATTCTTTTTCCTCATATCCATTCATTAGAACGATTTACGACTTCTATAATCTTGCAACGTGAAGCTCAGTGTAAAATTCTTATACGTGATGAAATTGTTATACAAATTGGTTCTTGTTTAAAGATATAGCATTTTCTTTTCAGTTTTGATTTTGACTTAAGTAAAACATCACAATTGAACTGTTTTAGTTCCCACACTACAACTGACGTAAATATCTGATATTAAATTCAAATAAAAGATAAATAAGACTGAAAGTGTAACATCCAAATCACAACTAAACAGATGCAAAACTTTTTGAACAACAGGCTGAGTCGTTTATGGAACAACAGCAATACTGGAAACGTACGGAAAAATACAACCCCAGATGGAAATATTTGTTCTAAACAGACCCTTCGAATTTTTGGGACGGGTCCAACTTCTACTGATGATGCCTTCGAGGAGCAAGGGTTTGATCCACGCACGTGAAGTTTATCAGAGTTGCATACAGACTGTTTTGAATAAATTACATGTCAGTATCTTAATATGTAATATTTTCCCAAATACTTGTTAGACTTTCCTAATTTAGATAGTTGACATTGTAGGTTGACTTAAAAGTCAAAATCCCTTTTATCCACAAATCTTTTCATCCTAATAATCTTGCCTGCCTCACAAATCAATTTGATCAAATCACCTAAATTTGCTCCTTATGTCTGCTTCAATTATTTTCTCCTAATAATTTTCTACGCGATTTTGACCATCCTGTCTTTGACCATCCAGTAATGCCAAAGACAGGATGGCCTATCGGAGATCTTATTCTCTCTCACTCCCCATTGGCCTCCTGTCTCTCTTCCTCATCATTAATTTCGTCCATCTAGCTGCCATTCCTTCCGCATCCGCTGCCGCCACCACCACCAACGTCCGCCTAAGCGTCACCCGAAAACCGTCCAAAAGCCTTCCTGTTTTCCGTGAAGCTCCCGCGTTTCGCAACGGCGAGGAATGCAAGAAGGATCTCATCCATGTAGCCATGACCCTCGACGCAAATTACCTTCGTGGGACGGTTGCAGCCGTTTTATCAATCCTACAACACTCGTTTTGTCCCGAAAACATCTTCTTTCATTTCCTATGGTCTCATTACGACAAAGAAATCTACAACAACATCAAAAACACATTCCCTTACCTCCGGTTCAAGGTATACCGATTCGACACGAATAGGGTTAGCGGGAAAATATCAAAATCCATCCGTCAAGCGCTCGACCAACCGTTGAACTATGCAAGAATCTATCTCGCAGACATTTTACCAATGAATGTGAACCGCGTGATCTACTTGGATTCTGATATTGTGGTGGTTGATGACATCGAGAAGCTGTGGAAGGTTGATTTGGAAGGGAAGGTACTCGCGGCACCGGAGTATTGTCAGGCGAACTTCAAGCGGTATTTCACGGATGATTTCTGGGCGGACCCAGAACTCAGTAACACGTTTAAGGGTCGGAATCCGTGTTATTTTAACACCGGGGTGATGGTTGTGGATATTCAAAAATGGAGGGAGGGAGGGTATTCATACAAAGTTGAAGAATGGATGACAATTCAAAAGCAAAAGAGGATATATCATTTGGGTTCATTGCCACCATTTTTGTTGGTTTTCGCTGGCCACATTAAAGGAATTGACCATAGATGGAACCAACATGGGTTAGGTGGTGACAACATTGAAGGAAAATGTAGGGGTTTGCACCCGGGTCCAATTAGCTTGCTTCATTGGAGCGGAAAAGGTAAACCATGGTTGCGGTTAGACTCGAGGAAGCCTTGTCCCGTTGATCACTTGTGGGCACCTTACGATCTTTATCTCTCCAAGAAACCGATCCTCGATGAATAACCAATTAAAGAGGCATCCATCGTCGGAAAGATCAAGAAATGGAACCAAAATTTTGGTTCCAAAGCCAGGCCAAGAGTTAGAAGGGCCTGTTTAGCTCAATGACCTTCATCTGACCTGCTCTGATTCAAAACAGTTTGTTGTTAGAGTCTCGTATCGGCTAAACTTGGAACATTTCTCCCGTAAATATGTGGGAACCTCCCATTTCTCAAAGGCTATTTTGGAGAGAAATATGGGGGTTTCACATATTATTTCACGGTATTAGAGCCAAGATCTACCACTCTAGGGACCCAACACTATGACTAGCTCCCTCTCGGTACCTAGGGACAATTTGTGCCCATCTAGGTTCCGTTAGAGGGGGCGTGTTGGAGTCTCACATCGGCTAGACTTGGACCATTCCTCTTGTAAATATGTTGTAACCTACATTTTTTTTCTCAATGGCTCTTTTGGAGAGTGATCTGGGTGTTCCACATATTCTCTTATATGCCACTCGTTTAAAACTTAGAAATACGGTAGAGGGTTACTTTACAAAACCAACTTCTGGATAAGGTCATCGAGCTAAATAGCCGAGAGTTGGAAGACGAAACCAATGAGCATATGTTGCCCATAGCGAGAAACAACACCAAGGACGGAGGGTGAGGGTGATGCTAATTGCAAAGATGTCTCGTTCAATCAAATTTATCATTCTAAATAGAAACAGAAACAGAAACATAAACAAATCATTGTATCTACAAAGTGAAAACATCATATTATTATTAGATCTCTTTTTGTAGTCAAGTTTTTATATTGTAGAACCCTTTTATCATCTCGTTTGTTAGTACAATTAGAGCATCTTCTGCAGACTTTTTAAAATCGAGAATCAAAAGTCAGTATCTAAAAAGAAAATTTATATTCATATCAATAGCTTCTTTATTTTGAAGATCACAGTATATCATTAAAATATTCAATACATTTCATAAAAATATTATTTCTCTCTAATATGCACTTAATCTCAAGAGTTTTTATTGTTAAAGATGTTTTTATACCCAGATTTGAAGAATTTCACCATCTCTCTCATTTGGAGAAGGTTGGAGCAAAATTCTCCAAAATCTTACATTTTAGAGTCTCTATTGAAGATGGTCTTATACCCAGTTGTATTGTTTTCGACAAACTGCTAATGAAAACTATTTAAAGGCTAATTAACACTTTTAATTAACTTAACTACATCTAAAATTCTACCATGATTAACATCTAAACACCCAAAGTCTAATTAATCATCTTTTCAACAGCAAGACCTACATTGAATAGGTTTACTATTGAAGAATACAACTCACATCAGTTAGTGGGTTCGTCTACTAACTGATGAACCCATTAACTATGTTTGTTGTATTCCTCAACATTTACATCTTCTTAGGCAACACTGATGCCTAAATCCGAAGTGGGTTCCACTCGGTGTGCATCCGCCACGAGAAGCCTTCCTCTTTGGGCACGAGGCGGTAGATGTTTTGCGGGTTTTCTTGAACCGACGCTCCACGGTAAGAAAACTCCTGTGCCGCCACGGGGCAACCTTCTTGGGCTCATTACCATTGGACGAGCTGGTGCTAACATTAGCAGTTGTGGTGCACGAAGGACGCCCCATTTGGGGATAATGCCGGTTGTCTCAGAGCCTTTAAGGGTTCCGTTTGGTGTTGGAATGGTCGGTTGCCATACCGTCATGGCTCCTGACATAGTAGTGGTTGTTGATGAATTGTTTTCATAGGTGTCTGAACGGACTTTAAAGAACGTCACACTGATCCTTTTGGTTGGAGATTGACACATAACGTGACGAGCCATATCTGCGCTGTTTCCCCTCATCACTAAGAGCGATCTGCACAGTTATAAAACGTTTGTCATATTCTGTAGCTGGTGGTGCAATATACTTGAAGAACAAACGGTAATCTCAAAATTATAATTGCGACATCCGGAGTGTCTTTCGAAGCTGTTGGAAATGTTGTCTGTTTAAAATTCTAATACTAAGGGGAGTTTCCAACCATAAATTGGGTAAAAGAGTACGGTCTAAGTAAGAGGTTTCGGTTTGGGTAAGTGCCGAATGAAAATGGTGGTTTTGCAAGTAAACCCTCCGTCCCAAAATGACTATCCATATTTCTATTTTAGTTTGTCCAAAATTAGTGTCTACTTTCCATTATACCCTTTTATTATGAGATAAGAGAAAATCTATCAATCCTTCCTCACCATGTTATTAAGGATAAAAGTGTCATTTAGTTAATTAAAAGTGTAATAATTACCACGTTTCTAAAATTATGTCAATTTCATTATAAACATCCATTTTTGGACGATGGAAGTATTTTGTTGTACTTCCTCCATTCCAAAATAAGTATCAACACTTTTATTTATGTTTGTTCTAAAATAAGTTTCCATTTTCAAAAATAAACTATATTTCCAAATCTATCCATCATTAATGCACAAATCTGCAAGAGTTAATAAGATAGATAAATTAACTAAGGGTAAATTTGTCATTTAATTAACTAAAAAATGTAATAATTACTCTATCTAAAATTATGTGTCATTTCTATTGTGGACATTTATCATTGGGACGGAGGGAGTAAGGGGCCGTTTACTAAACACTTACCTAATAAGTGTTTACCGGGTCATTTTACCTTAAATAATAAATATGACAAGGATCAAAAATCTTACCCGGAAAGAGCAATGACAATGGGCCAAGAGTCTTACCCGGTAAGTGAGGGTGACGACTCTTACCCGGTTAGCGCTTACCGGATAAATTGTTGCATTTGATACTGTTTTAATGGATTAGAACTTTACTCAGTAAGATAAGAGACAATGTTGACTCTTAGTGGGCGCTTACCTTGGGTAAACAGCCCCAAGCGTTTACAGATAATGTAAGCATTGTCTGATTCAGTCAGTGACATATCGGTAGGTGACCCAGTCAGCACCTCGGTCAGTCAGAGGTGTAAGTAAATAACATAATCTCTTACCAGGTAAAATACTCCTAAGTGAGAAGGCATCATTATTGATTGAACTATGAAGATTTGAAGAGAAGTATGCTTACCCTTCCTTTAAAGAAAGCATGAGTGGTCCTTTATAGTTTCCATCATTATCGCATACTAGAGTACGCCCAAAAGCCATCTTCGATTCAGAGAGAAGTAAAGTCGAGATTGGTTGTTCCAGATGAGGTGGTTTCAAGAAAGGCTGCGAAAACTCCCCCTGCAAAAAACAGTGGCTTAGGAATTACAAGTTGTGGTCCAATTTCGATTACGTTAGTGTTGGAACTTGGCTTAATAGGAGAAACTTTGTCCCAGATAGGAGCCTCATGGAAAATGAACCCACTTAATTAATAAGGACTAACCCTTGAGCATTAAACGAATCATTTAAGAGCTTGGATCTTGGTGTGCGGGTGTTTTATGATGGACTTTCATGCATATACGTGTTAAGAGGTCAAATCATGGGCAAACACCAATTCCTTGGGGAAATTTTGTCTTAGGACACTACGATAATACAGGCCTCAATCCGTTTCAATATGTTAATTTCATATATAAGAATATTACCATTTTATGCACATTTCTTTAAATAAAATATATACATCTTTTACTTCAAAATTATATATATATATATATATATATATGCATCTTTTTTTGGTGATTGATTACTCCCAACACTTAGAGATCCTTTGGTTGTCTTGTATTTATATCTGTTCCTTTGTAAAGAAGGATCGGTCGATAGAATATATATACCTCATCAAAAAAGCTTATGATGCAACTGTTTGGTCGTCTGCTTTCAGAAATCAGATGATACTGAATCAAATGGTCAATGACATCTTCCAGAGGAGCTGGAATTGGCTCGATGTGGCCTACAGACATATTCATCAGTCATAAAGAGAGATCGAAATATAAGATCGATTGCATTTACTATTTCAAGAAACTTAATTAGTTTCTTCATCAAGGACCACTTACTATCTTGGGATTTACTTGCAGCTTCATCTTTTATCTGTCCAAAAATAGGAGCTCCAAACTGAATGAGCTCTCTCTTGATTGCTTTGGACTGCTGATTATACTTGATAAAGGTCTCACCTGATCACGGTTAGACAAAATCAAGAATCAGTACTTTTGTGGCAGGAATGTGCTATAGTTTTTCAAGAAACAAATGGCACATTGTTTCAAGATTATTTGTATCAGTTTATCTATGGTTCTCACTTCTCAGTTCATGATGAAGTTTTGGATGTGGTTTCGGTTGAATGTAGAGTATTGGTTGGATCTTTTGTATCGATTTGAAATGCTATGTACTGTGGTTGGTGGATACTATCTCAAAGTATCAATAAGAATTTCTTTTACCATACCAAAAGGTAACTGCTTAGACTTGGACATTTTCTCTTCTAAATCTGTTGAAACCCCTTGTCTCCGCTCTTTTAGATAGTAATCCGAAGGGGTTAAATATATTCTATCTACTGGGTTCCATAATATCTACTGGATATCCAATCTAACGGGGTTCCATATATTCAATCTATAGGGGTTCCATATATTCACACCATAATAATAATAATAAATAACTGGGAAACAATCTACTGCTAAATCTTTTTGGACAGCCACAAAGAAAATTTATAAAAAAATCATCTTCTTGTTTAGAGAAACTTTTAGAGGCTATCATGGAAAGTGCAGGTATAAGATGGATAGTAGTAATTGCGAAGGAAATTAAATTGGCAAACCTGTTCAATTCCTTACTATCTCAAAACTTCAGTCCCAAAAAGGAAAGAACTAGTTTAACTATAAAAGCATCACGAATCACGGGATCCACCTGAGAGTTCTCCATTTTGGCCAGCAACTCGTAGTTCATTCACATATGCATGCAGCTTAGATAGCTCGGTATCATTGAGGATCTCTTCATACAACTTCAAACCCCTTACGACATTCACCTGCCAATCAAAATTCAATATCAATTATTTCTAGAACAAACTGCAGATAAACTCTGATTGGTCTTATAAATCATGAATTATGATTAAGGCACCATCTACCAAAAGCTTATCCCACATAGAGTAACCAGTAACCACTCTTCACTTTAACTTATCGGGTAACATCAAAATATATTTTTGGTAATAGTCTTTTACCTGTAAGCGTTATCAGCTAAGAGTCTTCTCACTTACTTATAATGTTAGAGTCCCTCAGCTAGACTTGCACCATTTCTCATATATATATATATATATATATATATATATATATATATTGGAACCTCCCGTTTCTTCCCAAGGGATCTTTTGTTTTGTTTCACATATTTTCAGTTGGTATCAGAGCCATAGGGACCAACACTATTGGACAATCTTAGTCCATCTAGCCTATACGGATACGTTGGAGGGGACGTGCTGGAGTCCCATATCTCCTAACGGCGCTATACGGGGTTTCTAACAAATTCTCAAACAGTGGTCCTTGTGCCTCTAACAACAAAAAAATCAAATTGCAAAAAGAAAAAGAACTCGCCATATGCCCTTTTACAGACTCCTTGGCTACGAACCCTTTTGTCATCTTGATTTGAGCACGCCGAGCCTCCCAATCTTCTTCCTGGTTTGAACATATCTCATTGTTTTCTGCCAACGAATGAATTTCTTGAGATCCTACAGTTAAACAAGCATCAAAGTTTAATTTTGTTATCCACAAAGACGAATGCAAAAGAGATGTATATAAACAGGAATGTTTGCCTTCCAATGATACTCGTGTATGTGAAAATTAGATATTATCGTAGAAGATACTACACTGAGAAATTAATGGCACTAGAAGACCCTCAATCCTAGTACTAGTAATTATTCTTCATATTTGTGCATACTTCTGGCCTGGGTTTGGTTAAAGGAATGGAAACGAGGATGGTGATCCAAAAAAGAAAATAACGAAAAATCAATCCTCCTTTCCATGGATGTTACTCAGTATTTAGTAATTATTTATTATATATTTTATTTTTGTCTATTAAAGCATCTAGATAGATTTTTTAAAATAGATATTTTTACTATTGTTAGTTTCGAAAAATTCTTTCAAACCTTCTTGAGCATGATAGAGAGCAATTTTTTCTAAAAGTATTGCTTTGAACATCTTCAATAAGTATGTTGAAATATGAATTTTGAGGATTTATGATATATTTTACTTCAACAACTATGGTATATCATATGTTAAAATAGAAAAAAAAAAAAAAAAAAGGTAGAAATCACCAAATTTAGAGAAATCTTCAAACTTCATAATAGAGAAATAATATTTAATTTTTTTTCACTAATAGAAAATATTGAAATTGAGTGTTTAAAAGAGTGGAATAATATCTTATCAAATGTATTGAATATTTTAATAACATAATTAATGATAGAATTGTTAAAATATAACAACCATTGAAATTAGATGCAATTCTTTTAAGACATTTTAATTTTTGATAGTTTATTTGATTTTTTATTGTTTTTACCAATGAAAATCCTTAAAATTAAATAATTAAGATATATAAAATAATATTTTATAAATGTATTGAGCTTCATATTATAATTTTCAAAATGAAAAAAAGTGTTAAAAATAAACACTAATTTTTGTAGGCAAACCATGATTGGTACATAAACAATATGACTTTATTGAAATACTCTCATCATCTATCACAAATGGTGCAGGTAAAATGTACGTACATAATCATGTTTCGTTTATTTTGATTTAATTTTTTAATTATATTATATTTACAACATATGTATTAAAAAGACAAACATGATAATAAGTAACTTTATATTTACTCTTTATTCTGAAAATCTAACTTTCAAAAACTCTTGAAAACTTTCAAAATTTAGGGAAAAAAGGTAATTTTGCTTTTGTTTATATTTTAAGAAACATAAATTTGGATCAAACGTTCTCTTAAATTAAAAAGATTTGAAAAATGGGTTTCTTAAAATAGAAATTTAAAAAGCATATTTTTCGAAATAACAAATAAATCAAAAGTTGATTTTATTTTGTGTCTTTTTTTTCATACCAAAATAATCGAAAAAATTGGTATTTAACACATAAAATAAAAGATAATACAGGCAAATAATTAGTTTAGCTTCAAACTTTATAAAAGAAAATCACAGTTAAAACTTAAAATAAACCTTGGAAGAATAATATTTTCTTTTACAAGGAATAATTATGACCATCGATGGTGGGAGCTACTTATGTCTTGGTCCATTCAAAATAGTGAAATACAAGCACAAGGAGCATGCAAGGGAATCGGTATCGCCTAGGGATTAGCATTCAATAACCAAATTCAAACAGTACCCCCAAAAAACAAGTCGCATGTGGTGACGTCCGTTATATCGGATCTATACATTCAAGAAAACACAAACCCTCGCTACTTTCCAAACCAAATCCAAAAATCACTCGGAAGTAGGTCCAAAAATGATATAAATCTGAACGCTTTTTTAAAAAATAAAACAATTGTTTTTGTGAATATTCAATTTACAAATAGTGTGCAAAGGACATTTCGGAGGGGTAGATCCAGTATATAAGATATGGTACACACGTTCCTCCATTGTAAGATGAAAAAATATTAAGGTCGTGAAATGTATCGTCGTATGACAATGTTGGGTGTCAACATATATATTTTGAAATTACAATAATAACATAAATTTGTCTTGGCAAAGTTGTTTGGAACGACTTTTCTCCCATTCTAAGTACAGGTTCGAATCTTGTTTCAATCATTTTTTTAGCTTTTAGTTGTTAATTTCATATTTATTATGTTTCTAAAAAGATTATGATAACAAAAACTCAAACACAAGACCACACGTACGAAAAAGGAAGGAACTACTAATAGACAGATGATGATTTTCGTTTTTTGTAGTCAAATTGTGCCATCATAAAAATATCCAAGTATGTATCTGCTTCTAACCATATACATTTACATAATGGTAATATTTGATCAATAATAATTATATATAACTTTACAAAATTTGGTCTACAAATTTCAGTTGTTTGAAAACGAAATACTCCATGCAACAATAAAAGGGATTGTTTTAAGAGAGGTGCGGAGGAGGCAGTAATTAGTTAATGAACCCACACACATCCCCATGGAATCGGCCCAGTGCTTATGCTAGAAGGTTTCCTACTCCCGAAACTGTGTATTGCTTAGGTTGAAACAAGACCTCGAAAAGCTCACTCCTAAAAAGTCAGGGCAAACACAGTTAATTCGATCGAACAAACAGTGAAATATTTACCACTCGTCTGTTATGGTAAAGGGAGCAGGGAGGAAATTTTAGGTTGTAAATTGGTCGATCTAATAGACATGAAACCCCCCAAACTTGAAAATACACAGCCCAATCAAATAAACTCCAGGGAAAATTGTACAGGTTCAAAATTATTTTTGTTGTAAATGAATATTAAATTGACAAAAGCAATGAAGTTACAAGGTGTTTTCTGCAAAAATCCATCTCTGGATGGGTATGTATCCATATATGAACATGTATGATAATTCATATAGGCAGGAACTAATTGGGATGAATTTTAAGAAATTTACGTCTACCATAAGATACAGAGGAAAGAGATCTAAAGAAACAGCAGAATCTGCAATTAGAAATAGATTGATCTAGTGATCTACTATTAGAGATCATACGGAGATAACCTATTATTCTGTGGCCCTTCGACCACTTGAATACTTATACTATTCACATAAGAACACATATTTGTGGATGTATATTGAGAGATCGAAATTATAGACGTAAAAATTAAAAAACGTGTTACCTGTATCGGTAATCTCACTGATTGGTGAATCATCTCTGGTTGCATCGTCGTCAACAATCTCAACATCACCATTTCCATTGCCTTCAATGCACTCGTGTGTAATTTCGAGGTTTTTCTCCTTCACCGGCGAAGAAATATTGACTTCTTCTATTTCATCGATACCTCCCAATCTCGTCTTCTCCTCAACCACCTTCTGGAGCTCGAGAGTGACGTCTGCGATGGAAAAAAACTTCTGCATCTGAAGAATTGGGATCCAATTCAGTCTGCGCTGGTGTATAGCAGCAAACACGGACTCATACTCACATCTTCCACCCTCTAATTGAGAGAGGTGGCCACACAGAGCGTCAATAATTGCGTTCGCTGCCGCGAACTCTCCACGGAACCACGAGATAATTGCATCCTCCGCGAATCCCCGCGGCATCATCATCGCCGGTTGTACAGGCATCATCATCGGGACTCGATCCGGAGATGAAGAAACGCCGGTTGCCGGCGCCATCCTCTCTCTTCTCAGATACAGAATATGAAACTTCTACGCCTTTTTCCGGTGGACAAAACGATGGATTAAAACGGTCGGCCGGTGATCGATACTTCCCTCCGGCTAGAAATTATGGAGATTTAGAGAGAGAGAGAGAGAGAGAGAGAACGAACGAAATGCATACAGCGATCTGTATGTATATGTGCACCTGTGTCTGCATATATAGCGAGTGAGGGAAAAAATAAAAATGAAAAAAAAAATAACAAAAAGCTTTCGGGGCATTAATTAACATCTCCGTACAGGTTGGGAAACTTGCTGACTTGTCAAATTTTGATTCGTGTATTTTGATGATATGGCACTATAATAACGAAATAATCGGTTTAGAACAAGCGTTACGTGGCAAAAATAGATGCACCATTTCTTTATAATAAAGTTTAGGGTAAATTACATTTATGGTCCCCATGGCTTTTTATATTCACGGGAGTTCGATTCGTAAGATTCTGATGGAATCTGAATGATTAATTAAAGCTGATCAAATTTCATTTATGCGTTTGGTTTATTTATGGAATGAAAACTGAATTTCATACGTTTCACTGTTCATGGATTTGGTCATTCAATCACATTTGATAAGGAATTCAGTTTCATTTCATCTCATTTTCTCAAAAAGACAAAATTATGCACATCTTACATGTTTGATTTACTTAGACCCATATGATTTTCATCACAACCATCGTCGACCACTACCGTTCTGAACCGTCGCCGACCATCACCTGCCTAAACCATTGTCAACTATCTCCAATATGATCCACTACCGACCACCACTGATTGGAAACCGTCGTTCTGAACCACCGCCGACCATCACCAATCTGAACCATCGTTAACCAACATCGTTCTGAACGATCGTCGACCACCACTGTTTTAAACCACCACCGACCACCACTTGCCTAAACCATCATCAATCATCTCCAATCTGATCCACCGTCGACCACCACCGATTAGAACCACCATTCTGAACTGCCGTCGACCACCACCGATCTGAACCACCGTTGACCACCACCGTTCTGACCCACCACTGTTATAAAAAAGGATATTTTGATCATTTATCGTTTATTCTTTCTAATTTCAAAGCTACATTCTACCAACCAAACATTCATATTCTAAATTATATAACAAATTCCATTCTAATTCATTTCAATCAAATTTGTGATCAAATTTCATCTAATTCCTTCAAAGTCCAATTCATTTGACAGATTTCATTCATGCATAAAACATTATGTGAACCAAACTCCCCCAGTGTTTTCGTGGTTTGCATTCCGTTACGTTCTAGGTCTCTTGCCCTAGCTTTATTAACTTCCAAGCTTTTAATTAAGGGACAATTTGATCAATTAGCACAATTTGTCTTTTCCATATTAAAACACTAATAGTGATATATATATATATATATATATATATATTTGTACGCTCCTCTCATTCCTCATGGCAACATCCCACCCCGACGACAACGCAACCATCCTATGCCAGTGTTATGTGTTTACAAGATGTGTATGTGAGAGAGAGAGAGAGAGAGAGAGAGTATGCTTGCAAGTGTAGGGAGGGAATGGGTTGGGACATGTTGCAGGTTCTAGGGGGAGGAAATGGGTTGACGAAAAGCTAATTCTGACAGGGTTATTTTCGTCGGTACAAATAGGTGTCACGTCGGTGATAACAGTCGTCAATTGACCAAGTCGTCCAGGTAAATGGGTCAATTGACCAAGTCGTCCCTAAGTTAACGAACATGAAATACACAGTGTTAGAGATATGAACCCATAACAAAATGAACTACAAACCACATAAACATCGAATACATTTATTTTGAAATAGAATCCATATTTAACTCTAAACAAACCACAGGGACCAGAAATGTAATTTACTCAAAATTTCATTTCCAAATCTCTTTATTTTCAACAAGAAATTAAAAAATGGTGGGGCGAGTGGGGGCCTCGGCACCGGGCCAGGGGCTGCGATGCACCACGCCGCCACATGTCTACCATGCTTTTCTCACCGGAATTCCTCCCATTTTTATTTTTAAATAAAATATTTTTTGTTTTATGAATTGTTGATAAAAAATAAAAATAAATATAAATATAATTAGACTCTCCTCGAGAAATACTGGGTAATTGTAATTTTATTAATTAATTAGAATAAAAATTAATTGAAAATTAAGAAACATAATGAGTCGGTAATAAATAAAGGAATATAATATAATAATAATAATTTGATAATTAATTAATTCACAAGAAAATATAATGAAAATTTGTTGCCAAGTTGTGGCAATAATTGGGCTATTTGGGAGACCAAATCATGGAACATGCTTTGTTTGTCGATTTCCTTTCAAATTATGTTAATTTAAATATATTTTTTAAATAAAATTTATCAATAATTATTTAAAATAATATATTTTATAGTTATTTTTCTTGTAACCATGAACGTTGTAAACAATTTATGGTGACTTATTACATTGGTGAATATATGAAAGGGTAAATTGTATGAAAAAATAACGTATTTTAATTTAATTTTTATTTCGTATAGTATCTTTTAGAACTTCTATTTTGATACCTAATCTAAAGTTTTAAACATTTAAGTATTCAGGTAACTGGTTGAAGCATTAACCGGTTATCATAATGATGCGGCAAGTGATGTGATATCCAACTCCGTATTATTTGTTGACGTGGTTGGTGACATTAATTTTTTTTTATCTAAAATTAGTCTTTAACCGGTTACCCGGGTACTTAAATGTTTAAAACTTTACATCTTAGGTATCAAAATTGAAGTTTTGAAAGTACGTTACTCAAACTATGAATCAAGTTAAATTACGTTACTTTTTCATGCAATTTGCCCTGTATGAAATATTGGATGTTGATTAGAACGTTAAGCAGTAACCAATGAGAATGAAAATAAAAAAAAATTGTTTGGTTTTATATAATATAATGAGATCATTCATCTAAAAAAGCTCAGAATTTCATCTTGAATTAAACTGAGGGAAATGAAAGTTCGTTCCCTATGATTTTGATTTTTATCCGTTTTTATTCAGACTGAACCAAATAATGGTCTTGGCATAACTTCAATTGGTAACCTGTGAATAGCCAATTCAAATTTGTGCCCATAAACATATTAAAAAAACGCAGTAAATAGTTCAGAGTAATTGATCAGACAGTTATATGTTCTTATCATTGAATATAAAAATCGTTACACAGTTTACGTTTGAAAGGTACGATAATAATATCAAATCAAATGTTCATTATATTTCACATCAAACAGAAAAACGACAAACGTCAGTATTTACTAAACTTGGGTTTCAAGTAAGTTAAGAATAAGAAATTATTTCTTTCATATAAGTCATTATTTTGTTTGACGTATCCTTCTGTTGACGAAATGTCATACAAAACAGATATTTTAAACACCTTTTAAAAAACAAACTCAGTAAACGCTTTATATAACTCTTAAGATCGTTATGAATATATAAAAATAAAAATTATCCTATTTGTCATTTAAAGGCAACAAAATGACCTTTTTTTTAATAACCTGTATATCCAACCCGTTATATGAGCCGACTAATTCCACGACAACCATCTGCTTTACCGATAGTCATGAGTCACCACATTTGAATCTCCGTGACCACAGAGGGATTTTTGTTCCTCCTTAGATTTGAATCTCAAAGATCTCACAATTTAATTGATTATATTTATACAAAATTCATAATTATAAAACTTTTTTTTATTGAACTTTTCAATAAATTAAAATGGTCGATTAAAAAGTAACGATAACTTTCAAACGTTGAAAGATTTGTATCGGTATTTTTGTTGTTTATATTTCAGTATTACTTGCTCGATATTGAATTAATTTTAATTGCAAAATTTAAAACTTTTCAATTTGGAATTTTATTTATTAAATATACACAACATTTTCAAGATAAATTACATATAAGGGATTGTTTGTTTACCTCTTAATAGTTTCATTAGATATGAAACATTTGAATCATTAAGAGATGAATCTTGTTTGGCGAAATAAAATATGATTCTTAATGGTTCTAATACCCTCTGAATGATTTTGTATTATGGATCTCTCTTAACCATTCATCGCATTAATTTTATTGTAAACAATTATATTTCATTTTGCACTATATCATGAGAGTCTCTTAATCATTCTACACCAAATCATTTAACAACTATCAAACAACTCCTAAGACATTTGAATCTTATTATTATATATGATCCACTGAACAATTAAGATAGGTAGATAAATGCATTAAGGAGTCGTTTATCCAAACATTTATCCAGTAAACGTTTATAAGTAAAATTCAACGTTATCACTTACCTTGCTGGGTAAGATTTTAGTCCATCAAAACAACATCGTATGCAATAATTTATCTAGTAAGCATTAACCGGGTAAGACTCCTGGTTATCGTCATTGCTCTTGTCGAAAAAATTGTCGATTGTTATCATATTCATCCGATAAAGTAATGTAATTTAGTAAACGACTCCTACATGTTTTAAATTGCAACGGAAACACATAAAATAATGTATATTGAATAATATTGGGATCCATGGTTACAACTTATATTAATTTTGATGAGATAAAAATAGTCAATGGTGCACATGTGAGAGGGCTTTGTGGAAAGGCCACCCCTTAAAGTGCACAAAGGTAAAGGGTGACCCTTCAAACATACTCTACCACTAATCATGCCTTTTCACATAAAAATTAACTTTTGAAGGTTGATATTATATAGTTTTGACTCATATTTATTAAAGATCTTCTTATAAGAGTATATATATATATATATATATATATATATATATATATATAGATAGAGAGAGAGAGAGAGAGAGAGGTTATTATACAACCCTTGACATTTGTACAACCAATACAACCCAATCTCAACCGTCCATTTCATTTGATGAATATATGATTTCATAGAAGTTTTGATTGTTTCCTAATATAAAATATTAATCATAATTAATGAACTCTATTCATATTCCATAAATATTCAAATTATAATAAATGAACTCCAATCATTTCTATAAATATCTCAATTAATTGGGTTGCAAGGGTTGTACAAATACAAATTATAATAAATGAACTCCAATCATTTCTATAATGT